AGAAAGACCCTGTCTCAAAGAAAAAAAAAAGTGTAAGAAATTTGGCATTTTCTGAAGAGCCTACTGTACATGCCCTAAAATTTTGTGGCTAATAAACTTTTATTTTGGTTGTTTTCATATTCATTTTGAGAAAGAAAAAAAAGTTGCAAAGGTTCTTGGAGGCACAGGTCTCTGTTTTCCAAAAGCCAAGGGTTTTGGTTACCTGTTGCTTTGGTTACTGACAAGCTGAGGCAGGGTTGTTTTGAGTCCAGGCTCCAAGTCTAATCTGGGCAAGATAGCAAAATCCTGTTTCTTTAGAATAAAGTCAAACCCAGCTGCTGTACTTCTTGTCTCTGGGTCTTTGGTATGCCTTCTCTGTGTAGAGCTCAAATCCCTTATTTTTGTACTCTGTAGTTCTGTCCTCTGAACAAGACAATAGTTACCTATTTAAGGACTGACCCTAGAGCCTCCTGCATAAATACTGTACCACTTAGCTGGATTCCTGGGTACCTTTTTAGTTTTTGTTTTTTTGAGATTGAGAAAAGGTTGCCTAGACTAGCCTTGAGTTTGCAACTCTCCTGCCTCAGCTTGTGACATAGCTGGGATATTACAGACCTGCATTACCAGGCCAAGTTTTGTCTTTTTTTTAAACCTCACTTCTAGTTGATTGAATAAGATATCCTAATGAGTAAGCTATTAGATACAAATATGTTGTTAAGTACCTGTGAGACAACTGGGCATGGTGGTGCATGATTGAGTTTAAGACCAGCCTGGTCTACAGAGTGAGTTCCAGAATAGCCAGAGCTATACAGAGAAACCCTGTTTTGAAAACGAAAAACAACAACAACAACAAAAGAACATATGAGACAAAAAAGATGTATGAAGTAATGTGTTTTCTGAGAGGCCAAGAAATAATTAGAATAGTGGCAACTGTAAGACAGGCTGGTTAGCCTCTAGGAGCTTGTAGCCCAGTCACTTTTTTATCTCTTATTTGAGGCAAGGTCTCTCTAAGTTGCCCAAGCTAGCCTTAAACTCACTGTAACCCAAGCAGATCTTGAGGTTGGAACCTCAAGATCTTAGCCTCTAAAGTAGATGGAATTTCAGGCCTGTGCCACCAGACCTGGCTGCTCTCTGAGGAAAGGTTTATAATCTGTAACCCAGAAATTTGGAAGCTGGATAAGAGTTTTTCAGATGTCCTGAAAAAGCATAAATGAATGTATGCATGCCATGTTTCTTGACAGCCCAGCAGGGGGCCTAAAGTAATGTACCCACAGCCAAATATAGCATTTAATTAAATTACGTATGTATGTATGACAGGAAGTGTATGTGCAGAAGCCAGAGGTAGATGTCAAGTGTCTTCCTCGATTGATTTCCACTTTAGTTTTTGAAATAGTCTTTCACCAAACCTACAGCTTGCCAATTTGGGTAAATTGGCTGGCCAGATAAGCCAGTGGGAGCCTCCTATCCCCACCGTCCAACATTGTGATCACAGGTGTCCAGCACCTTTGTAGATGCTGGGGATCTGAGCTCGGGTCCTCATGCTTGCATAGCAGGTGCTTTATGACAAAGCCATTTCTCAAGCCTCTCCCTTTTTCTTTTTTAATTTGTTTTTTTAATAAGTGGTGTTTTGCCTGCACTGTGCACTACATGTATGTAGTGCCTTCTGAAGCCAGAAGAGGGCATCAGAGCCTTTGGAATTGAAGTTTCAGGTGGAGCTACTGTGTGGGTGTTGAGTTAGGTGTCTGAGTGCTGAGGTAGATAGTGCTGAACCTGGGTCCTCTGGAATACTGGCCAGTTCTCTTAAAGGATGAGCCGTCACTTCAGTCCTCACACCTCTATCTTTGATTCATTATTTAATACTTTAATAGTCACAGAAAAAAAAAACAGTAAAGACTTTCAGACTTGGGAGAGACAGAGAGAATGTTGTGACACCTGAGTTTTAGGTCAGTTAAGACAGATGGGGGCGGGCAATAAGTTTATCGCCAAACTTAATGGGAGATCTTAGTTTTAAGGGCTTTTTACACTTTGGTATTGCAAATGAAGAACTATGGACTGAATTTTATTGTGGTTGTTGTTGAAACAGGGTTCTCTGTGTAGCCATGGCTGTTCTAGAACTCCACTGTAGACCAGGCTGGCCTCAAACTCAGAGATTTCCCTTCTGCCTCCCAAGTGCTGGGATTAAAGGCCTGTGCCACCACTGCCTGGCTCTGAATTTTAAATTTTATTTTTAGTTATGTACGTGAGAAATTATGGGAGCACCTGTGTCACAGCACACACGTGGCCATCAGAGGACAATGTTTAAGAGTCTGCTCACTTGTTTACTTTGGGATTCAGAGATTGAATTCAGGTGTCTGGCTTTCATGGCAAGCACTTTTACGAATACATGGGGGGGTGGGAGGGAGGGAGGAGAGCGGAGAGAGAGACTCGAACAACAAAAACAAAAAATAAGAGAAACATTAAATCTACAAGAAATGGGTTGATCTTTCTTGTTACAGTATTTTGGCAGTCCTTTGTGCCAAACTCAGAACCTCCTCCCTAGTAGGAAAGGGCACTGACTCACCACTTAGCTGTACCTCTAGTCCATAGGTCAAGCAGTTTAGTTAGAGCATAAAAAATAAATGCTATGCCATAAGAATTAATGTTTTACCAATCTAGTTATGTAACAAGGTGTACAAGAGCAATTCACATTGTTCTAAGAATCAGAATCCGAATCTCTACCACCCCAGTGCTGGAATTACCTGCATATACCACCATACTCAATTTCATCCAGTGTGGCCAAGCTTTGTACATGTTAGGCCAGCCCTCTACCAAATGAGTTACATCTCCACTCTTATAAGGTTTGTTTCTTAAATAGAAGAATGTTATGGAAGATTCTTGAGGCCAGGAGTCCCTTGGGCACTTGTATACAACTCTAGTGCTGTAAATTGACATTCTCTAGCACATTTGTCCAATATTTTCAGATCCATAAGACTTTTCCTTTGAGCTACATGTGCACACCTGTAAATTCCAACCTTTGGGAATCAGAAGCAGGAAGAGGGCCACAAGTTTGAGGCTAGGCTGGGTTACATATTGAGACCCTGTCCAACTGTCCCTTTCCCTAAAATAACAAAAAACAAAAATCTTTCTTTTGAAAGTTATTTCCTAATTTAAAATCTTTCAGACTTGATGAATGAAATATTTTGGGTTTTTGTTTCTCTTTTGAATGAAATATTGACTCCTTAACACTCAGAAATTTTTTTTCAGAAAAGGTTGCACATAGTCTAGGCTGGCCTCATATTTGCTGTGTCAAGGATGACCTTGAGTCCCTGATCCTCCTCCTGCCTCCAGTTAAAATCTCAGTTTAACAAAGTATTCAACATAACCAGTGGCTCCTTCCTGAGTGACACAGTCTAGACTCCTCAGAGAAAAAGATGCCCTCAAATAATGATGCTGTATGACCATTTGAATGCTTTTTGAGACTCCTGAGATTTGTGCTTGGTTTTTGGTGGCCTTAACCTGAGCCCCTTGGTGTTTCCAGGCAAGCTGGTGTAGAGTGGGGCCTGAGGCCCTATGCTACCAGGTCAGCCTCTGTTGTGATTTCAGAGGGTTGGTTTATCTGAGAAAAAGCATGGTCAGTTCTTTAACTGCTAGTCATTTTTACCTGTGTAAACTTTTGAAGGGGCTGGATTTAGAATGTGAGATCACTGAATAAAATATTTTGATTTCTCTATTGTTGGGACAATTTAACTCTTGAGTATGGTTGCCAAAAATTTGATGGGTAATTTTCATCCTGTGATTTGGCTTGTATCCCCAGTAACTTGTACTAGTCACCACCATCCTTTTTCCTTCCTCATGTCCTCACCTTCACTTGAGCCTACTCACACCTCTCTCTGTTCCCAGAGTCTGTAGTCTCCTGCTATTTCCAGTGTTTTATCTTTGGGAGACAGTAAATGCTGAACAGATAAAATTGGTTTCCATTTTTTAAAAACATTGATTATGATACCAGTTTTAATTTAGTTGGGTGTTACATTTTACTTAAAGCTTTTAGACTAAGGTTTATTGAGGTAATTTTTGAACACATCCATTTTTCAGCAAAACTTGAAAGAGGTGGTGCTCAGTGACTAAAGCACTTGCTATGCAGACATGAAGGCTGGAGCAAAGAGCCCCAGCACCCAGGTAAGTATTAGGTAGTGAGTGCAGTGGCCACCTGGGGAGAGCTCTAACTTCATGTGAGATCCTGCCTCAGTAAAATAAAGCAGCAGCCACTGAGGAAGATACCCAGTATTAACTTTTGGTACTGAGCTGCTTCCTTCCCACTTCACACACACACAAGATGCATACATAGAAAATGAAAAACTGAGGTTTTATTCATGTTAGAAGTAAATTCTTCCCTTTTAAAGTCCTGGCCCTTCAAATACAAGTTTATTTCTACCTTAATTTGAAAAATAACAGGTCAAGAGTTCAAGACCACTCTGGGACACTGTCTCAAGAAAATTAACTTTGGGGCTGAAGAGATAGCTTAGTGGTTAAGAACACTGGTTAATCTTCCAGGGGACCTGGGTTTGATTCCAGGTTGGCAGTTCACATCTGTCTATAATTCTACTCCCAGTGGATTCGTCACCCTCTTCTGGCCTCCCATGGTCACTGCATGCAAATGGTACAGACATACATGTAAGCAAAGTACCCATACAGCCCTTCCCCCCCAAAAGAATAGATTGGTTAAAGGAGAAAGTACTAGTTGGAGATCACCATGTATATATACATATATATGTGTGTGTATATGTGTCTGTGTAAACAAAGGCTTTTTAAAAAAGAAGGGGCTTTGCTATATAGCCCAAGCTGGCCTTGTACTTGCAATAATGCTTCTGTCCCAGCAGTTACTGAATATTGAGATTTCATGTGTTCAGCAACATGCCTTTAAAAGAAACATTTACAGTGCATAGCAAACTTTTTGCACAAGCAATGCTAAACAGCAAGTGCTTTAAATAAGTTGTATCACTTTCAAGAGTAATGACCATAAAGATAAAAGAATCTGCCACATGTTAAGTTAAAGGACATTTTATTTACTGACAGATTAAAAACTGTAACTCTGGGCAGTGCAAAATGCACCGCTGAACCTATTACAAAGAACTGGTGTTAATACACAATGTTTAAGCAATGCTACATTTTTTTTTTTTTGGCAAAGTGCTGTGCTGTTCATTCTGTATAAAACTGACCATCTCTGACCCAATTGGTATAAAAAATTTTAATAAAAAAAAAAAACAATTAGATAGTGGCTCAAGAAAACAAGCTGCCATTTATGCATAGATTGATGTACAGTATATAATCTAACTAAAATGTCCCTTTTAAGTTTCAAGTTGATGAGAGAAAATATTGTGCCCATAAACACATTAAGAAGGCACATAGTACAACCTACAATACTTTTCAAAATCCATAGCTCATATCCTGCCTTTAGAAGGCAAATGTGTTCACAATTCTACTAGAGAAAAAATAAAGCCACTTCTTAAAAATAACACGCACAATTATTCACTAAAGTTCAAAACTTCTGAAGGAAAACAAAACCACACACATACCTGAGGCCCCCAAATACACACCTCTAACCTCACCAAGCACTGTTTGGTTTTTACAAGTCCATCTAGAAAACAATACTAAAACATCAGGCAAGTACAAAGTCAAACTGGGCATTTAACAATTAGAAACATTTTTCAATACCACAAGGAAACTTATCAATGATACACAGAACATCATCCATTTAAGCTGCCTTTCTCTGAATAGTAACTTCTCTTCCACATAAAGGATACTATTGCCAGCCTGGGGGGAAAAAAAAAGACACTTCCTTTGCCTCTGTACCTATTCCTACCTATCTGCACCTAAGCCACTTGAATTGGTGTCACATTTCAAGAAAAACTGGCCTATGACAAAGTAGACAACACTGTCATGTAAGTTTGTAAAGTAGACAGGCATTCATATACAATTTTAACAGAATGTCAGGTTGCCATTTATAATACATCAGAGGCTGATGGCATGAAACTACCTAACTTTAAAGAATTTAAAGGCATAGTATCTATAGGCCTTAAAAAATAAAGATAAAAAAAAGATTAAAAAAAAAAGATAATTTCAAGGCAACAATAGAAGCATACACTAGTATTTCCCAGTATAAGGAGCAGTCTTTTAACTGTCTCTGAAACAAAAAGAAAAAGGTAAAAACTTTTTTCCACTAGTCTATTTAAATGCATATAAATGTCTATCATCTAGTTGCAGTCCTTCATACCTACTTTTGTTTCCAACTCAAAGAAAATGAAGATAATAAGATACCCTTCCTTGCTTTTTCCTCTTTTAAGAGTATACAGAGACTTAATGCCTCTGTGAAGACAAAGCAAAATAGGAAAGCAATTCCACTTTAACAAAAGTGAAGACTGTAAACCTGTACAGATTTGAGAAGCAAAAAAGAGCCAGGCATTGAGCCCTCACAAGTTTTAAGTAAACACTCTTTTTGCTAAAACCAAAGAACTAATAAACAAGAACAGTCTGCATGGGAATTGGAAAAATACACAGAAGTTAATGTTCTGTTCTGTTTTGAACTTCCTGCAGTGGGAAGTAAAATCCAATCTTTTTGTGTCTCTGCAAAAAGTTCCCTACCTATCCAACCATACAAACACAAATTATCACAAAAGATAAATATGGTAAGCTAAGTACCTATATATAGTGCAGAATATAACCCAGGAAATAGTAATTAACAGAATACACATTCTAAAATGTTAAACATAAAACACAAACTTTGGGGAATGTGGGGTCCACTATAAAAGCTAAAAAACAGACTCTGTATGTACGGCTGATGCACACCATGTATTCCAGATTTTGCAAACAATATTCTAGGCTTTTGGTTTAGAAATGGTCAGTGCTACTAAATTCTGGAGTCTTGCTTCTTTGTTTTTTTGTCTTACAGTGCTGGGGATGGAACTCAGGACCTTGCACATACTAGGCAAATCCTCTACCACTAAGCTACATCCTCAACTCCTGGGATCTTCTTACTGCTTGTACTTTCAGTGCATTGAAGAACACTGTAAACCACTGGTAGGTATAACAGCAAAATGATGGTGATGATGATAATGAGTAATCAACTCCTAAGATGTATTTTTTGGCCATGTTTCAAAAAAATATTAAACAGGTTAACATTGTTCTGTTATTATTCTTGTATCTAACACACACAGTAGTTGCCTAACAAAACACCTAATGACTAAGAACTTCAACTGAGTTATGTAACCTTTTTTTTTTTCAGTTCTTACAAGTGCCAATTTTAGACATAAGCTTTAGATTCTCACACAAACAACAGTGTGCTACCTACTTACTATAGGTGGAGTGGTAATCTTAACCCCAAAGGAAAAACCCCAATAGCTGATTTGTTTGCTGGTTTTCAGGAACAAAACACTAAGCATAGACTAAGAATGAAAAGTCAGTAACTGACAGAGATGTAAGTGTACTTAAGGGTTAAATAAATGTGGTGGGAAAGTTGTTTTTAAAAAAACAAAAACAAAACAATGTAGTTTAATACACAAACCAAGTCATGCTGGCCAAACAAATTCTGATGGCTGAGCGTCCAACTTGTGAGACACAGCTTACATGTGATGTAAGGGAGTAGGGGAAAGCTACATGTACTCAAAACCTCTGTCCAGAAGACACTTAGCTGATCTATTTCAAGTTACCACATATCATCCTATAAGAGCTGTGGTATAAAATATGCACACCTCCATGAAAACAAATAGTAACAACCTCTCAGTTTAACAAACTATAGACTTGGCCCCTTAATTAGAAAACATATAAATAAAAAGGGAAGTCAGTATGGAAAAGGCTTAAGGACGAAGAAATGTAGATTCCTGTTCTAAGGAGACATCCTGGCACCTAATCACAGCCAGTGTTAAGAACACCCTTCCCCATCTAACTGCAGCTCTAAATGTCCAGCCTCATCAGAGGAGAGCACTGTTTCTTCCTGAAAGTCCCCCAGGGTTCCCTGTATCAAGCTGCTTTAGGGATAATACTTCACATAACAGTATGCTTTTTTCCTTGAAATTATCTCATAAACAAATAGTTATGATTGCAGAGGGGTTAGGGAAATGAGCAGTTTGAATAATGTGCTTCAAGCTGTAAGTGGGTTTAATTTTCCAGAAAGTTGGTTGCAAGTGTGGATGGCTCATCAAAATCTACCAAAACTGCCCTTTAAAAAAAAACTGATCAGATAGAGGTAAGAGAATGGACTTTCCTCTACACCACATTAACTGGTACATATGAGTGGAATCATTAGCACCAACCCTGAAGAATAATCATGGCAGAAAACTGCCACAGCCTCCCAGAACTAGGTTCAGTAGAGAGTTCAGTTCTCTGACAGCCCCACTTCTAATCAGCATATAATCCTCACAACTCTGTGAGGGAGGTAAATATTATTCCTCCCCTGCTGTGGAGGAAACAGAGGCAAAAGTGGTCAAAAAATGAAAGCTTGTGGAAACCAACCCATCAGTCTTCACTTAGGTGCTAAAAACAAATGCCACCAGAAATCCCTTGGGAGGACAGGCTCCATGTCTGAGGAGTTATCACTGTGTCTCTCCCTTTCTTGTGGCAAACACGCTTGTGTATTTTCAGCTGAGCCGACAGTTAAGACTTTATAGACATCTCCAAATACTGACTGCTCTGTGGGTTATCTACAAACAGATTCCAAATATCATCTCATGGGTCTAATTTTTCCCTTTGCATATGAAACAGGTGCTTTCGTCCACTACATCTGTAGTATTTGTACCATATCATGGAGTCACATCAGAATTACTGAATATATTGTTCACCAAAGTTAATGTACCTGAATTCCACAATGAACTGCAATGACTAATGGGGGGGGAGGGGAAGAACCATACATACAGAAATATGTCAAGTTTTCTTTCAAAAGTAAGTTCAGCCATTAATTCCATTATATCCATGGCAAAAATCACCTGTTAATGCTCGTGTTAGTGTAAAAATGTACTCACTATATACAGAGAAGACTATAAGTACTAGTCAATAAAGTATACGGCTGACCCTGAGAATAAATTTTTGTTTACACAAAAGATTAAATAATACAAAATAAAGGAAATTGAAAAGATGCCTATTCTTACACTTGGGGTAAGAAATGTCCTTAAGATGCTAACTCATACATATATACCTTACTGTACTTAAAGACAACCCCAAACACTGTCACTGTATTGATATGTTTCCAAAAATATTATGAAAAGGTTTTTTTAAAAGTAATTTTCAGGAGCAAGGCATTATGTGATACACAGCACAAAAATCTGGTTGTGATAGTGTCTAAACACACTAATACACTAGGCCTTCAGTTGGCTGGAAGGAGACAGCACTTTCATTGTATGCCCATACATCCAATACATATGCACAGAACCTAAGGAAACCAACCAACATAACTCAACATTCTCAGTAATTGTACTGGCGTGGGCAGGGCTGGTGAACCACCCAGCCACTGTGCTTCATTTGTCGAGTGTGGCAATCCCTGGTAAGGTTCTGACGACGGAGGCCATTTCTGTTCAGAGACTGTCTTTCACTGTGTCCTTTTATCCACTGGGAAGGGCGAAAACTCTTGGGTTGTTCCAAAAATGTTGCTTGAGCAGCAAGTGCTGCAACACAGCAGTGAATATGCTTCCCCATTTCACTCTGGGCTTCCATTCTGAAATAGACCAAAGTAAGTATCAATAACAAGAGTATATTACTAAAAACGTTACGTAGTAATTTCATTTTTTTTTTTTACATTTATTTGTCTATGGTTGGGCAAGAACTTGGTGTCTCATGGCTGATGAACAGATTTATATTTTGTGACTGTATTTGCTGAGAGTAGGAGAAGGGAGGCACCAATCAACTGTTTAGTTATTGTTTTTGAGGTAGGGTCTTGTTATTGAACCCAGGCTACCCTCAAATTCACCATCCTCTTCCAGCCTCCAAGTTGTAGAATTTTGAATGTGTCATAACTCCTAGCTGAAAAATTAATTTTAATAGAAACATAAACTGTATTGTCCAGAGATGGCTAAATTAAAAATGTGCTTCATACTCTGAATGAATTTAATGTGGTTCTCCAGGAGAACTGATGTCTACTGAACACCTGCGATTCTATTTAGTTTTCTGAGACAGAATCTTAATTTAGCTTAGGATGAATGGCCTTCAATTTCTTATGTAGCTAACACTGGCCTTGAGTGTTCCCACATGCTGGATTTATCAGTGTGAACCATCACACCCAGCTTTCCACTGTTTTGAAGATACTAGTTCATTCTTATTGTAAAATATTTTAATTTTCAAATTTGATCAAATGGCATATATACCAACAGCACCTTCACAGGTGATTTCTGGCTACAAGTAAAATATCCTAGGTAACGTGAATCATATTTCATAGAAATGCACATAAGGACATTCTACCAACTTTACGTTTTCTAGGTAAGAGGTCTATGCCTATTACATGTGTCAGTTTTTTATGCCATAGAGGTGCATATTTTGGAATGGCATGTATATGGAAGTGATTATATTCTTAACTGGTCGTAACCAGTATTTTAAGCCAGGCTGTGGTGGTGCATGCCTTTAATCCTAGCACTCAGGAGGCAGGGGCAGGTGGATCTCTGAATTTGAGGTCAGTGTGGTCTACAGGGTTAGTTCCAGGACAACTAGGGCTACACAGAAACCCTGTTTCAAAAACCCAAACTAAACCAAAAACCATGTATCTTAGAACATGGTTATATATAGTAAGATTGTTTTCTATACTAAAAGCCAATCAAGTTGAATTGGTATAAACTATATTAACACATAACAAAGTTCATTTTCTGCAGTGCTGTGTATTATCTCAGGCATCTTGTATAGTTGACAAATGCTTGGCCAGATACATTCTCAGCACAACTGTGATGATAAAGATGATCCCTAAGATAGGTTATTCTATCCAGATGGCTTCAAGCTCTGTTAAGTAGCCAGGAATGACCTTGAACTTCTGATTCTCCCACCTCTAGGGCTGGGTTTATGGGTGTGCATGAACATATCCAGTTTATTCACTGGCAGCTGAACCTAAGTTTTCTTGTATACCAGGCAAGCACTCTATAAACTGAACTATATCCCAGTCTGAGTTTTAAGATTTTTACCAGTTATTTTATTCAGGAAGGGTAGTTACATATTTTGTCTAAAATGATCAGAGGAAACCATATATGTATGCATGCATGCAAGCACATGTATACACACAGAACTAAAGGATCCCACTAAGAAATTAACAGAGGATTGGGATGCAGCTCAGTGGTAGAATGCTTGTCCAGTATGTACAAGGCCCTGGGCTTGATCCCTAGTAGTAGGTAAAAACAAAAGAAAAAAAAAAAAGAAACAAGCAAATAGAAAAAAAGCTAATATAAACTCAATGATTTTTAGAAGGCGGGCATTTGAGTTCCTAGTCTCCCTGCTCAAACACAGGTCATATGGTCCCAAAGTAAACATACTTACTCTGTGCCCGTGAGTCTTATAAGCAGCTTTTTCTGGCCCTACAAATGTTAAATGTGAACTATTAAATCACTAGTAAGATTTAAAATGCCATTTTAATTTTACTACTAGGACATGGTCATTTTTCTTTATTAAGACTGATTTACTATGGACATTAAAGACATATTACTTAAAATTATGGTTTCTCATAAACTTTCACAAACAATATTAATAAAGGCTAAGATGCAATAAAACATACACACTCTAAAGCCATTATACTTAACTTCATACTCATATGGTTTATACTGATATCCCTGAGGACAGAGTAGAAGTAATATGTTTGAAGGATGGGGTTTATTGCTTGCTCAGAAAGTAAGGACTGTTTAATATATAAAGACTTGCCATTTCAGTAACACTTGATTCTTCCTTGATTTGGAAACATATGTACACATATAGCCAGTTTTGAGACAGTTTTCCAGGCTGTTCTTACACTAGTGATCCCTCCTGCCTCATTCTCCTCAATGCTGGGATTAAAATCACATACCCCCATGTCTGGCCTTTGATAATTCATTTATGAAAACTATCTGTTTGTTGGTCCTACATGTTAATATTTATGACATAGGAATGCAAAACCAACTTCTTGTGGCATCAAGTTACAAACTCTTAAGTCCTAGATACAGTGCACAGATGCTTTAATAAAGTTGATAAAATACTCTAGGAATAGGTTCGATTTGAAATACTCTACCACTGAGCTGCATACCAACCTTCTATTAATTTCTTCATGAGTGTTAATAGTATTCATTTGTGGATCGTGAGGCATGTCATTTCTGCATATTTAAATTTTGGGCAATAAATATCTGCTGTAATAAATTACTTTGCAAAGCTGCCAATTATATACACAAAAATGTACTTTAGTACTGAAAAGTATCAAATGCCAGTAAATAAATTTAAAGTGGTAATTTGTTAACCATGTTTTTTTATGTGTATAACTTTTTTTGAGATTTTATTCATTTGTTTTGTGTGTATGTTTTGCCTGCTTGTAAAGCTGCACCACATGCCTGCAGTACCCATAGAGGCCAGAAGATGGCATCATCCACAGGGACTAGAGTTACAGTCATGAGCTGCTATATGGATTCTGGGAATTGAACTTGGGTCACTTGAAAGAGCAACTAGTACTTTTAACAACTGAGCCATCTTTCTAGTCCCTAATCATGTTCAATTGTTGAGTAGATTCCACAAAGATGCAGTCAGAATCGGTAGAGAAGAATTTTTAAGAACTGAAGAAATGCTTAAAGCAGCTATAAAGCAATTAAATCAGCATAAACAAGTTATGTTTTAAATTTTAGTTAGGATGCTGAAGACACATAACTCAGCAAAATTATGGCTTTCAATAAAGTGCCACTTGAAGACCCAGTTTATGCCTGGTACTTCATGATTGTATAACAAAGACATGATTTTTGTTTTGGTACAAGAAAGAGGAAATATATTTAGCCTTGCTAAAATGCATCTGTTATACTGGGACTTATGAGGGTAGTAATTCTAGAAAGGTTAGCATTGCCTGGGTTTTATTTATACTCCAGAGATGGGAAACCAGCTATGTACAGTGGTCCAGTGGAGCCACAGCCTAAACCATGCAAAAGGAGCCCTTCAGATAACAGTGTAATACTCCAAAGGATCCAGACTCACCTGAACCCTCTACCTACAAGAAGGAATAAATCCGTGGCAATACTCACAACGTGCTTTGATGCTACAGGGCATGTTCCATGGACATGCATGATAGACTAGCCAGACTCTAAGCAGATGAAATGGAGAGGAGGCCTTGGATTTTGTAAGTGAGAATTGTCTCAGATTTATTCCTAAGAATGTTCTCTTGATGAAGGCCACAGAGTATCTGGAAGGTTGATTTGGAACATGCTATTCTTAATGGACTTCCCTTTCCTGAACTTACTGGGCCTTCACCTATCTCCATTTCAGACTACCATGTAACAGAACATCAATTCTGAAATCTGAGGGCACCCCTTGGAACAAATACTTAGATTTTTAAGATTAAGTACCATTTAAGATGACTTAGCTAAGACTATGTAGAAGAAAATTAATTTTTGAGACATACTTTAGGTGAATTTGATACCCTAAATAATCTAGTCTATAATACACCAGAATTACATTCCAATATACTTATCAGAAATAACTAGACTTTTTATTTCCCTTCAGTAGCATGATTTTATAAAGGAGATGGCTCTTTAATAACCTTATAAAACTCGATCTTGATCTGAATGTTGTATTTATAGCCCAAGTTACTTAATTTCTAGCACAGTTAGTTTTAAGTCTTCTAAAGCCTTAGCTTTGTTCTGTGTAGAAATAAATTTTGCTTAGCAGACTACTTATGCAGAGAGAATGCAGTGCTTGCATCATACCTGGGACCACTTGAGTTATATTCATCATTCCCACAGCTGGCCTCACCGAGACCAGGACAGGAGTTGTGCACAGCATAGACAGACATGCTGGGATGTTCAATGAGAAGGTTTTCCATAGGACTTGTTTCCACTTTGATAGTGGTTAATCCACCTGCTGTAAAACATGGGGGAGGAGTGATGAACCAGCTCTCCTCCATTGGACAGGACTCAAACTGAAGGAAGCAGGAATCACTGGTGTCAGCCAAGCATTCCAAAGACGCAGGTAAACAGGAGAAGACAGAAGTGTGCTCTGCTGAGGACTCTTCACCAATGTCTTCATCTTCTTCCTCTTCCTCTGCTGAGAAACCAGTGCAGGTATCTAGATTGTGATCCACAATGCATATGGCAGGATGAGAAGTCAGTGGTGGAGTCACCCATCAAGATCAGAATACAGAATAAAGGACAATACCACATTAACAGATGCTCACAAAGGCATTGATATTTGCTTGTAACAATTATAATTTCCAATCTCTGTGTACTGTTAGACACTGAGGAATGGCATTAGGACTTTTTATTCTAGCAAATAAGCATATTATGAACCCTGTGGGTTCTTGTTGCTCATATGAGAGTTTCCTATCAAAGTGGCTCTACTTGGACCAGGCTTTATGGGTTACAAAACTAAGAGTTCACATTTTCTGTGTATATACATATGCACTCATGTTTGAGGGTATTTGTGTGCAGAAACACTTTACTGACTGAACTTTCCTCCAGCCCCAGGAGTTCCCACTTTTGAGCCAGGTGTGGTGGGGTTTGCCTATAATCATAGTCTTGGGAAATAAAGGCAGGAGGATCAAGAGTATTTAAGATTATTGTCAGCTACATAGCTTGCTGGATGCCACTTGTGATGATTAATTGTTGATATGCCTTACCTATGAAGTCAACAAGAATCCACTCATCATCTTCTTTCTCACAAAATTCTGGTTCTTGGCTGGAAGAAGTAGTGACTTCGCCTACAAACATTTTATTCAGTCTCTGAAACATTGTTAAGGCAAGATTGAGACTTTGGCTGGATATCTTTGTAGCTGAGATTTCAAAACCCTGTCTTCAGTTGGCCCAATGTCACAGACAGGAGATTAAAGTGCACAGTGTTTCTTCAACTTAGGTGAAGAGCAAGAAGAGTCATCATCTCTAAAATAAAACAGAAGATGCTATTTTTTTTATTTGTTGTTTGGGTTGGGTTTTTTTTTTTTTTTTTTTTTTTTTTGGAGATAAGGTTGGTGTTTACTTCTAATCCTCTCTTGCATCCACCATGATGCCAAGCTGTCATTTTCCTACCCCATTGTCCTGCTGTTTGTATTCATTATGTATGTCTTCCAGGATATCTTATATTTGAAATCTGTAAGACCAGCATAGTATAGCTTTTGAAACAATTCCTATTACTGGCATGGGGAAATTTTATACTGTGGAAACTTAATCATGCAAGAACTGGGGCTGGCAACACTATTCTCTGTGGAGTGGTTCAGGAGTCACTGAGCACATGGTACTCAAATCTTGGTTTCCCTCTTTCTCATTTTAAAGCTTAGGTAGATGGAGCTGGAGAGACAGTATGGTTAAGATCATGTGTTGCTCTTGCAGATGACCAGTTCAGTTCCCAGCACCTACATAGTGGCCCACAACCATTTGTTAACACCAATTCCAGGAGATCTGACATCCTCTTCTGACCCCAGAGGGCACCTGGCATACACATAGTACATATACATGCATGCAGGTAAAAACACTTATACACATAAAATAAATCTTAAGGGGGGGGGTACCTTAGGAAGATGAGCCAGTAAGATAGCTCAGTGGGTAAAGGCACGTGCTTCTAAGCCTAATGACTTAAGTTTGATCCTGGGACCAACACAGGAGAAGGAGAAACCCAGCTTATATTTATCCTCCAACCCATGTGCTACACACACACGTTTTTAAAAAAGATTTAGGAAGCTACACAACTTCAGTTGATAATAGCTCCTACTTTAGGTAGTTCTGGTGACTTCTAAATGATAACACTCAGTTTATTTTATCTAAGCACAAAGTACAGTTATAAGTGCCCATTTCTACCTGGCTACCTGATAGCAAGCTGAACACACATCAAGAATAATTTTTAATTATTTTCTCAAGAATATCTCTTTGCTTTCCTAATTCAAAGTTCTCTGGAAAGATCAACTATTACTCTACAAATATTCAGTGAGTACCTACTAGGCACAGTACAAGGGGCTCAGCAGTGAAAAAGAATCACACAGAAAATGAAACAGTGCAATTATAGATGTAGCAGAAAGAATACTATATGGCCCTCAGACCTCCCTAGGGTAGCTTTCCATTAAGTGACCTTGGACCTGAGATCTGGAGTGGAGAAGGGGCAGACAGAACACTGTGAAAGCCTGCATAATCAAGAGCATGGCAGTGTTCATATAGCTCAAGATCCAGACAGGGTCACAAGAAGAAGCTAAGGGCCAAGCAGGACCAGATCCTGCAGGACCTAGGAAGAAATTAAGACAAGAACTCCCCCAGGGGGAGGGGCTGGAGAAGTGGCTCAGCGGTTAAGCACTGGCTGTTCTTCCAAAGTCCTGAGTTCAATTCCCAAAACCCACATTGTGGCTCACAACCATCTGTAATGGGATCCAATGCCCTCTTTGGTGTGTCTAAAGACCACAATAGTGCACTCATATACATAAATAAATCTTTAAAACGGAAAAAGACAACCCCAGGCATAGACATACATATCTTTAACCTTAGCATTTGGCAGATTGTGACTAGCAAGGATCAAATTTCTTGGCCAGCTTGGGGTACATAGTGAAATGTTATTTTAAAAACAAAAAAGTAAAAGCCCTGGCAGTGGTGGCCATGAATTGAATCCTAGCAATCAAGAGGCAGAGGCAAGCGGATCTCTCAGGAGTTTGTGGGCAGCCTGATCTACAGGACAGCTAAGGCTACAGAGAAATGCTATCTCAGAAGAAAAAAGTGGGGAGAGGTGGTCAGAAGAACCAGGTTTCTGGATGAGTCTTTTAGTGGGACCATTTTAGAGGGATACCATACAAAGTACAGGATGGATGCTACTGCTGTGCTCAGTTAGGGGAATATATCATGTGTTAGGCAGTAGAATACAAGTTTGGGGTTGTTGTTTTATTTTAGCCAGGAGTACAGATTTAGGAGGTTATCAATACAACCGGGATGACAAATAGGCTCTGTTTTGTTTTGGACAGGGTCTCCCTCTAACTCTAGTCTAACAGTGATCTTTCTGCATCCGCTAAGATTACATACATTAGATATAATGTCCAGCTTACTTTCAGAGTCATCTTTAAAGAGTAGTTGAGCTGTGGAGCTAAAACATCTGGGGCCATTCTCTTTTATAGAATAGATTGCCACAACTATTTGCATATAAAGGTAAAACATCTCAAAACATAACAAGACACTTGGGGTTGTAATGCTCAGCCATTAATTATTAAAAGTGGGTAAACAGGAAATATCACTTGCATAACCAGTTTTTCTGAAACAGTCTGGGAAACAGCATGATCAGATTGTGAGGACTGCAGACTAAGAGAAATTACAGAAAACAAATGGACTGTGTGGTCTGCCTGGCCCAAAGGATGAGTCATGAGGTTGGGTGTACATGAAGGGTTTTGATCATTTAAGAAAGGGGGAGTAAAGATATTTTCAAATGTAACCAATTTATTCTAGGTTATGAGGGCAAATATCAGCCAAGTACAACTGTGTTGAATGAGCTGAGAGAGCCTGGGTATTAAGGCTGAGTGCCCTAATTAACTAGAGCTACTGTGGAATGGACAGACCTCACAGGAGAATTCTTCAATGATCCTCAGTGAGAGCCTTGTCCTCCACCTATGACACCGCCTTGGACAAGCTTGGCACTTGGATTCAGGCCCCATCAGTGACTACAAGCCACAAAATATGGCTAGATCAAGGGTATTGGGGCCACTGCAAACTAACTCCTTTAGCTACAGCCAAACCCAGGGAGACTGGCTATGCCTGTAATATCTGGACTCTTCCATGCCCTGCTTGAATCTTTTAAAACTGTTCTGTTGGTTAAAAACGTTTTTAATTTTTGTTTTCTTTCAAGACAGGGTTTCTGTGTGTAGCCCTGGAACTAACTCACTCTGTAGACCAGGCTGATCTCAAACTTAAGAGATCCTCCAGCTTCTGACTCCCAAGTGCTGGGATTAAGGACATGTACCATCACTGCCTAGCTAAAAATTTTCATGCGTGTGCATGTGTGTTTGTGTATGTGTGTACACGAGCACGTACCTGTGTGCACTGAACTATCTTGCCAGTCCCTCAACTTAGTTTTTTTTTTTTTTAATAAAAAGTGGGTCTTATTATGTAGCTACTCTAGAACTTTTGATGTAGATCAGGCTGGCCACAAATTCACAGGAAAGCCACCTGTCTCTGCCTTCCCACTCTGAGATTAAAGGTATGCATACCATACCCACCCCTTAATTTTCAATTTTAACCCACTTAAACTGATGAGTCAAACCTCAGAAAGCTTTCAACTACATCTGAACAGTTACCATGTGTGAGCCTCCTTTTTCAGCTGTAAACTTCATCAGCCAGATACAAAGCCAGGCACTGAGTATTCTAGGTTTTGCCCAGTCAGCTGCTCCCTTGTATACTCAGTAAACTATTCTTAAAGCAGAAAACCTAAATATGCTTTAAGTATTTCCTGTGAGTTGCAGGGCAGTGGTGGCGCATGCCTGTAATCCCAGCACTTGGGAGGCAGAGGCAGATGGATTTCTGAGTTCGAGGCCAGCCTGGTCTACAGAGTGAGTTACAGGACAGCCAGGGCTATACAGAGAAATCCTGTCTTGAAAAACCAAAAAAAAAGTACTTCCTGTGAGAACTTTGCATTTGATTATGCCACTCATATAAGGTATATACTGGAATGTATTGGAAATATTTGGTACTGAAAATGTTAAATATCTCATTAATAATTTTACATCAATTTTACATCAATTACATATGATTATATCAACTACATGTGTTTTTGATAGTTAGCATAGGTACTGAAAATTTAAGCATACACATAGGACAGTGCTGTTGTGTTAATAAAAAAAAAAAATCCCTAGGGGCTGAAGAGATAGGTAAGCAGTTAAGAGTGTGTGCTTCCCTGCAAAAGGACTATAGTTTGATGCCTATCACCCACAGGTGGCTCACAACTGCTACTAACTCCAGCTACAAAGGATCCCATGCCCTCTTCTGTCCTCTGCAAGTACCTACATGCATGTTCTCTCATCTGTCTGACTAGTCTATGTGTGTGTGGCATAAAAATTAAACATCTTTTAAAACTCTTCCTAAACCTTACCACCCTGTCCTTCCACGGATGACCCAGAAAATGTCTCTTCATAATAGTCACTATTCCTTTTGACACCTACCCAGAGATGGTAGCTCCAAGAGGGGAGCAGACCATAAGGAGCAGCAAGGCTTCAGTTTCCCATTTGGTCATTGACTTATATTCACAACTCTAGGGCAGTAGTAAAACTAGTGAAAGTTCCAGAGAAAACATGAATCCCCAAGAGGACAGACTGACAAAAATAGCTTTGGAATTTAGCAACGAGGACAGAGAAGCAGGATGAAGCAGCCTGAAGCAGCCTGTTGTTCTTAGGTACTTAGAAGCCTCTAGGGAGGAAACAGAAACACATTATCTGGGCCCAAGTATTGATCAAGGCAGATTTACCCATTACTGCTTACTTGCTTTAAAATATCTCCATCCACCATTACAAAAATAAATGGTTTTTTTTTTTTTTTTTAATTTCTAAGATGGCCGGGCGGTGGTGGCGCACGCCTTTAATCCCAGCACTTGGAAGGCAGAGGCAGGCAGATTTCTGAGTTTGAGGCCAGCCTGGTCTACAGAGTGAGTTCCAGGACAGCCAGGGCTAAAAGAGAAACCCTGTCTCGAAAAACCTAAAAAAAAAAAAAATTCTCATAGAAGTTGAGAACATGAGGATGGATTTTTTCTATTCCACCACTTTGTTCAATTATTGTTAGCATCTGGCCTATTTTCCTTTTAGGCATAATTTTTAAAAACTCATACCTAAAATTTAACATTTTATCTTGTTTATCACATATGAGTAAAAAACGTTTTGTGGACAGAGAAAGTAGCTGAGTTTACTTGTGGGTAAAACATTCTCCTTTGAGAACTTACAGTGGAGTGGTTAATTTGTAAGATCTTCCTGGTATGCAAGATCTTTCTCACTTTTTTGTTTTGAGACAGTTTTCATGAGTAGCTTTAGCTGTCCTGGAACTCACTCTGCAGACCAGACTGACCACAAACTTCTGAGAGATCTGCTTGCCTTTTTAGTGCTGGGATTAAAAGCATGGGCCACCACCACCCAGCTGGCACTTTTCTCAGTTTTGAGATACATACCTAGGGAAAGATGGTGTGGACTTAACTGTTGGTTTTGGAAACTTCTACCAAATGTGGGAATTTGTTATATTTTTTTTCTTTAAAGGGCATATATATCAGAATGTTTATGGTTTGTGATAGGCAGTTGAGATATTTCTCTTCCATGTGATGAGGAAACTGAGCTCCAGAACGAAATGAAAATAACTTTCCCAAAAGCAAGAGAGTGGTGTCTTGAGGCAGCAGTAGAGCAGGAATCCTTCCAACCTGGTGCCTTGCTTTTTCCCTGCATATGACCTCAGGCTCCTTCCAGCCTGATTCTAAAAACTTGAGAGACTAGCACTTTTCAGTGGTTTTGGCTGCCAGCAGGCGGCTCCAAAACCATTTTTAAAATTAAAAACAACAACAAAAGCACCCACAACTTCGATGAATGCAGTTTTGTAATACCAGCTGACTAAACGTATCATTGAAAAGCAACCTTAAAACGATTACTTGTGGGCCAAAGGATAATTGAACATGTCATCGTATCTGGTGGCAAGCCTGATGACTTGAGTGTGATCCCCAGAATCTACATGGTGGAAGAAGAGAACCTAGCAGTTCAGAAAAACAAAGATGCTAATACAAAGGTTTGTTCTTTTAGTCAGAAACAAGGGCTGGCCTTGAACTCCTGATTCTCCACTGCCACCTTTCCAGGCTTGAGCCACCAAGCCTTGGCTTTGATTCAAGTAATTTAAAAATCAAATTTGAACTACAAAAATACTAAGCCAAGAAAATTGTCGTTGCTCTTTACACCTCTGTCTATTTAGCTAATTTACAAGGAGATTATTCCCCTATGGACTCACCACATCCTGTTCTGAAGTCTGGAAAACAGTGAACAGAGCAATTAGATGGGTAATTCACTGCTTTGTTAACCCTAACTCTTGAAAGCAGTCATCTCCAAGAGAAATACACTAGAGAGCAGAAAAGAATAAAAGACAAGGTGAAAAAACAAAAGAGACACTGGTCACAAAAAAATTAGTAGGCCATGGCTTCCAGCAAAATTATAGTGGCAGAGGCTGAACAAGTTGCATGGTGTTGTCACACCTGCCAATGAAAAGTATTGCAATCACCACCAAGCATGTGATTTCAAGATCTTGGGGCATTTGTAATGATGTCGGTCCAAAGACCCAAGAGTCATACTCTTCTCTCTCAAAACTACTCAGCATTCTGAAAGGGCTCTCTCAGCCAGGAACGCCTTAGTCTTTAGGAGTTACAGGTGGAAAGAGGTTCCCCCTTAATCTACTCTGAACTTTTACACGGAGTAAACATACCATGAAGGTAGAAGCAAAATGAAGGAATTGCACGTGAAATCCCTCTGCAGATAGTAAACACCGCTTCCTTTTAATTAGCTGTGTGGCCTTAAAATTACTTAATCTCACTGTGCCTCCAAGTTTCCTCCGCTTAAATAAGCAAAGTTGGAGCCTCACAGGACGGTCGCGACGGTCTTGAGATGAAGTATTTAGAACGGACAGCAGTCTCTGGCACACCCCAAGGGCAAGTGATCAAACTGATGAGGACGGAAGCGAAGGGAAGTGCTCGTCCCACAGGTGCAGGCTCGGTGAGGCGCGAGGTCAGGAGGGGTCGGGGCGGGTCTCCGGGTAATGGAGCAGGTTTCCGTCACCCGCAGGATCTCGGTGTCGCCGTGCACGTCACGGTAGGGAGAGGGCCGGGTAGGAAAGTCAGAGAGCGGGCAACCAACCGCCGCCCTCCCGCCTGTGTCGCCCGCACTTACGTGAGCCGAGCGGCGCGGCGGGCGCTGAGGTAGCTGCGGCGGGCCCGGCTCCTCCGCTGCGGTGGCTGCCCTGGCGGCCGCCGGCCCGTCCGGGTCCTTTTGTTGTTGTGCAGCTCTGGGAACAGCTGATCGGCTTCCCGGCCCCGCCCCGGGCGGCGCCAGCCCCGGGCCGACCAATCGGCTGCTCGGGGGCCCCCGGGGCCGCCCTGCGAGAGGTTGTCACTAACGCACGTGACCTGGCACTGGGTCGGCGGCGCGCCCCGGGCAGAAACAAGCCCGGGCAACAAAGCGGGAGCCTAAGAACACTCGTGGCGAGCGGGAGGAGGGTAGAGAACGGGGGCCGGGGACTGGCCGAAGTGGGAGTCAGCGGGACCAAGAGGAGAGCCCGACTCCCGGAGCCGCTTCGGCAGAGTGAGGAGCCCACAGTGTGGCACTCAACCCCCTTTTGCTGAGGGGTGGTTAGGATACCATCTGCTCCTCTGGCCAGTGTAGAGATAAGCCGATAGTCGTGATGCTTAAGGCAACCCACAGCTGAGCATTCCTTGAAAAGAAGTCTGGGCCCCAAATACATGGGATGCCTGTGTCCCTCATTCCCCACCCTTTAGTAAGACAGTAAACCAGGGCCTAATCTGCTTTAGGAACTTCAACGGGAAGCTCACAAGTCTTGCACCTAGAGTCTGCCCTAGAAAGGCAAAAGTCAGGCAGAGGAGGCCGCCACTCGGGGCCTAAAGGGCCTTAACTTCCGAAAAGAGGAATCCTGGAGTGAAGAATTAGCTATGTTTCTTTCCAGGGCTCTGCATCTAAGATCTTATAAGATCCAAGGAGGTTATTAGCTTTTTTACAAAATGTAAACATTCACATGAGACATACCTACTGACCAGCTATTTATAGTGAGAAGAAAATGAGACACTGCACTTATAAAGGGATTCTAAGCCAAAGCTCTACTGCATGTACATAGGGGATTAACTAGGAATGACAGGAATCATGTTGGTGCCTGTCAGTTATATGGATTCTGTGGGGCTGAGATGAAAAACGTCTGCCCTTGGTGAGCTGTATAGCTCAAGTAGTCTCAAGAGAGACTCAGGTCTTGGATAGACCTTCGATTCTCAGCCTGTGTGTCACCTAAGACCACCAGAAAACACATATATTTACAATTCACAGTAGTAAATTATATTTATGAATTAGTAACTAAACAATTTTTATATTTGGGAGGGTCACTACAACATGAGGACTGTATTAAAGGGTTACAGCATTAGGAAGATTGAGAACCACTGGGCTATACAGATGGGGAGACAAACAGGTTATAGATAAAGATGGCAAATGTCTGGGTTCTTTCTAATCCTCTTGACATGAGACAAAGACCTTGTGTGCTTTTTTCTCCTGTCAGCAGGGCTTCCCTTCTTGGTGATTGGTTCAGGCTGGTCAGGTATGTTCAAGGCTAATTCTGGACAAGTTTACCTGAAGCTATGGGCCCATCAGCTCCCCATTGTTTAATTACCAACCCCAAATTAGGAGAGGGGGACCCATCCCAGGCCACAAAACAAACAAACAAACAAACAAACAAACGAAAACACTTAAAACACACAAGCCTTAAAACACCTAAGCCTCCCAGGGAGAGAAATGGATTTTGATCTCCAAGACTCTCTGCTCTGCAGGGAGTCAGAGAGTTGTCTGGCACTCAGATAATAATCAATATGTGTTGATCATTTGACCATACATGCTTCAAGGGTGTATGGATTTTAGATTTTGGCAAATCAAGTTATTTTCTGTCAAATATTATTGCTATGTTAGGAACCCACCATCTCTTGTTTCTCTGTAAGAACCCATCTAGAGGCTCTGTGCCCCTGGGGTGGGGTGGGGGGAATCCATCTAGAGGTCTTCTTCCCATTTACAACCAAAATTTATTAACAATTATAAAAGTCTAGTTTTTTTTTAATCAAAAAGACTTACCTCATGCAGCTTAATAAGTTTGTTATTCCTAAAGGCAAAGTGTAAAAGCAGTATCTTGTTATGACAGAGAAAACCTGAGGTAAATGATGCTTCCAGAGACAGCTGCCATAGGCCTCCATCATGAAACATAATTCTCTACCCCACACACATACACTTTGAATCTAGGCTAGTCCTATCAGTGCTTTGACCCACACAGTATACTAGTAATGATATTCTAGGACTTACACTTCTGAGCATTAAGAAAATCTGGCAGTTTCTGCTTTGTAGTCTGGAAGAAGACAACCAGAAGTCGGGGCAAACTGTCACTCATGCTATGAGGAAGTTCAAACCAGCTGTGTAAAGGCTGCAATGTAGAAGCTGCCTAGCCAGGCCCTGGAACACAGTCCATTCAAGCTGGGGTACCAAACAAGAAGGAGAGAAAAAGACCCCCTAGGCAGTTCTAGCCTCAACAGACCACTTGTGATAAGCTGTCTCCACTGTGTCCTGCCAAAATGACTGAATCCTGAGCAAACAAATGATTGTTCCTCCTCCTCCTCCTCTTCCTCTTCTTCCTCCTCTTCCTCTTCCTCCTCTTCTTCTTCCTCTTCCTCCTCCTCTTCCTCTTCCTCTTCCTCTTCCTCTTCTTCTTCTTCTTCTTCTTCTTCTTCTTCATCTTCTTCTTCTTCTTTTCCTTTCTTTTTTTTTTTTTTTAAAAAACCTCACTGTGTAGTCCAGGCTGTCCTAAAAGTCCTCATTCTCCTGCCTCTGGCTCCCAAAGGCTTAGGTCACAGGCATATGCTACTATAACCAGCAAATAATTGTTTTAATGCATTAAATGCAGGAGGTTTACTGTTGTGCTTTTGTTTTTCAGGACTGAACCTAAAACAACAGATGAACAAAATACAAAATGAAAAGCCAGAAAGCTAGTAGAGACTGGTAGCACATATCTGTAATCTTAGCACTTGTGAGATGGAGGCAGGGAGACCAGGAGTTCAAGGTCATCTTCCAGGTGAGGTCTGTCTGGTCTAACCAGAGATCTTTTCTCAAACAACACAGCAACCAAACCCAAACAACAACAACAGAAATCCTACCACCAACAACAGCAACAAATACCCCAAAAGGCCTACCCATTTCTTATTAACAAGTTTTTATTTTTTTATCAGGCCAAGCATGTTAGCTCAGTGATAGACTAACCACAAAAGGAAAGGAAAGCCAGATATTATCTCAGGCATCGCTTGTTTACTTTTGCTGATGTATAGTCTTCCCACCTGGTACTTGTTTTATTCTTGTTTATTGTGATGTAACAAGAAACACTGATAGTTGTTTGTAGAAAGTTTCTGTCTGCCCCTATGAGGAAGTAGTGTTTTATCACTGACATAGTCTGGAAGTGTGGGGACTAGATATAATAAAAGGAATGTTACTCTTAGTTTTAAAAATTGTTTTGAAATTCCTACTAACAACAGAAATCACCAAAACCTTTGACTGCCTACAGCCCACACCAGGACACCAGGGTGGGTTGTTCCTGCTGCCTCCCTGCTTGGAACACTCTGGTTTGCATACTTTTATGAAGTAAGAAGACACAGGAGTAAGGCCACCTCTGCAGCATGGAGCTGTCTGCATGCATCCGAACTCAAATCACACACCAGCAACACAATCTTCTCTCTGTTGGAAAACAAAAGATCTGACCATTCCTTGCCTGGCCAGACCCCATGAATGCAACCATCCTTTAATTCATAGGCTATAATTTTCAGAGTGTTGCTATAGTACCCAGTTCCAGGCTGCCCCCCTGCTGTGGGTGACTTTCTCTCCCCATCTGTCAGAGTACCCTTGTCTGTCTTCCATGGTACTCAATACCACTCCCTTATCTACCAGAACAAAAAGGAATTCAACCTCAAGTTTTGTTGGAAGGATCACAGGGCTGGACCACATTTATGCCATCACTCAGATACAAGTAATGCTCCTGCCTCCTGCTCACAAAATTAGGTTATGGATGTCACCCTGTCAGCCATACTGAGGTTGCTTGTTTCCTCCAAAGTCACAAAGGAGGACTCTACAGGCCACCTTCCAACATAAATCACCAAGCTGTTCACCTATACTGTAGAACTATAGAGAATCTTAAAGTGAAGTCTGCTCTGCCATTTTCAATCTGTGTACCAACAGAGACAGTCGGCTGGGCTTTGAGTACAGGCCAAACTGTTGCTAGTTGTCAAGGGAAAATGCAAAGTTGTTCTAGATTGCATTTAAGATGGTCAGTCACTTACAATTCCAGTGATATCCATTATTCCAAGTGAAGAGAATGAGTCAAACTGTACCAGAAACCTGGAACAGAAGTGGGGTGGTTTGAATTAGAATGGCTGCCACAGGCTCATAGACTTGAAGAATAGCTCTCTTGAGATGTATTGGGGGCATGGCTTGTTGGAGTGGGTGTGGCCTTGTTGGAGGAAGTGTGTCACTTTCAAAAGCTCATACCATGCCCAGCATTTTTCTTCCTGCTACCTTCTAATCTGGATGTAGAACTCTCAGCTACTATCTAGAACCATTTCTGCCTCCCCATCATGGTTACAGTGGACTAAACCTCTGAAACTGTCAACAAGCTTTACTTAAATGCTTTCTTTCATAAGAGTTGCTGTGGTCATGGTGTCTGATCACAAGACTAGAACAGTGACTTAAGATAAGGAGAAAGGAAGAAATTTCCTGGACCCCACTTCTTTTTTGTGTATGTTTTGTCTACGTATATCTATGCCCAATGTCTGTGCCTAGTGCCCACAATGGTCAAGAAAGGGTGTCAGATCCTAAGACAAATTATAGACAGTTGATGCTGGCAGTTGAACCCAAGTCCTCTGGAAGATCAACTATCCCTTTTAATCTCAGACCCATCTCTCCAGCCCTTATTGTTTTGAGACAGGGTCTCATTATGTAGCCCTGGCAGTTACAACATGCTGTGTAGACCACTGTGGTCTACACCTGTTTGGTCTTACTCCTGCCTCCCAAGTACTGGGATTACAGGTAGAACTCTACTCTCTAAATGAACCATAGAAAACTGAGCTAGAGAGTG